AAAGTAGGGAATCACTCAACAACTGCCACCGATGCCAGCCACAATCTACCTCATTCACCGGAGGCAGACTGTCGCCGGAAATATGCGTTGGCATCAATTCGTTGGATCCGACCGCCGGCGCTGCTGACTCGACATACTCCACCTTTGTCGCCGACAGCAGCGGGTCGCACTGCAACTTCGACGCCGTGCAAAACATCAGGCGGCATGGCTTGACACCAGCTTGCAACAAACAGTACTGGATCCATTGCAGCTTCATCGCTGAACAAAGTATAACATGAAAACGTGAATGGCAATCGACAAGTAACGGAACGCACTGCCACAGAACGTCTGCACTTCCTCCCCCCCTCTAGCGTATATTACAACTAAGACATTATAAGGGCGAATAGTGCGCACTACACGTGACAGAGGCAAAGAGGAAGTTTTGACGCCACCATTGTACGTCAATCAAAGCATCGGCCGACTCTGACTTCAAATTTATTTTTCTCCTCAAAACAGCACTTCAGTAACATTGAGCAAACGTGTCTGAATATCATCTAACGAGAACATCAACAAGCAGTGAAATGCACATTTTGTGGTGCAATTTATAGCGCGACGAGGATCATGATCCATTTCTTTAGACCTTGTTGGAGGGGATGGCTTCAAACGGGTACGTAAGAACCGCTGCCTCCAGCAACGAGGAAAGAACAAAATATAGTGTAGTAAATTTTATGGTTAGTCGACAGCGCACTTCAACATATTACGTTTACGGCAGAAGTCCCACCGATGAAAATCTTTCAGAATCTAGACTCTGTGCTCAATACGAGTACAAACACTGGCAGAGAGTAAATAAAGTTAGTTTCAGACATTACAGCTAGCTTTCGCTTCAATCGTCGTAGCATGTCCTAAAAGAAAATTTTCAACCGACCACTTCCTATACGCTTACAAAATACGTACACACTGCTGCATCCTTCTTAACGGAGATTATACTAGAGCTCTGATTTCCGTTCCAACGCTTTCAGTTAGACATGCCTTAGTTAAGCAGACAAATCAACGTGTCGCGGTGTCACTCAGTCAGTCCTTCACAGCGCTAGACAATCAGCCAGCCAGCCAGCCCGCGAATCGGTTGCAATTGAGACAACAAGCTTTAGAAGTGAAATTCGAATAATAAACCAAAACGATTTTCGGTGCCTCCAGGTTCGCTGTTGAAGTTGTTGTTAAAATGGCTTCTCAGAAGCCATCTCCAATTTACTCTGCAACCTCATAATTAACTTCAACCTGCACAGAGGCCAATTTTGTTTTGACTTGTAGTTTGGTATTTGATAAGTGAACTGAGATGTTAAACTGTTCTTCCATTTTGCCGAAAGTACAAGTTAAGTATCCCCAATCCGAAGTTCCGAAAACCGTGACACCGTATTAACTCGCTTCTCAGTCCTAAATTTTTTGAAATATCTTTGGAACAATACGATCAACGGTCGTAACACCATTACCGAATCTGTACACTTTGACTTTCCATCGGCAGTCTCGTATCTTCTGATACCCGGCTAATCAAAAAAGAGTATCCCTCCATCCCTAACGTTATCGGAAGTTCTCTACTCATTTTCGTGAGCACACTAAATCATTACTCATTTTGTTTGCAGGGTCAAAACGGAGAACACGTCAAACACACCCCAACTTCTAACTTCTAACCCCCTCTTCCTTTCCCATTCCAACGCGTACAAGCTGCATGAAAATGACGTTCTATACTTGATGATACTGTACTCCAACGAAACACGGGCCATTTCAGTTTGTGGAATAAATGAGTTTCTTTGCCTTGTGATATGTAAGGAGA